TTGAAGCAGTGATAGTTGCCAACATATGGCCTGATAAATAAATCTAAATGACTACACTGGAAAACCCTGAGTCAGCATGGGATACCAAAGCTGAAATGAAGAGGACATTGGACTCAGCCCTCCAAAGTCCTCAGTATATTTTGTATGAACAGGAACTGAAAACACTTTGGGCCCTGAGGCCTGGAAGGCACTTATCTCTACAGTAGCCCAAGCCCTGTTCTTTTCCAGACATTCCCCTCAGCTCCACATAAACCTTAACAGATCCTTTATCCCAAGAAAAGTGGCTTCTTTTGTAATGTAAAAGTTGCTCTCTTTTGTAACATGACTTGCAAGTTTTGGAGCATACTGTCTGTCCTTTCAATTGAATTCCCTCCGTGTATACAAGGCTGTTAGATATCAATGTGATTAGGGTAGTACTAGAAGCTAAATATAAAGTGTACATGAGTGGGCCACCAGCACCATGCATAAATCCATATAATATGTACTTTTAACTGTAAGAAACACTTAAATGAAATAAATCCACCTTATTCTGCACCAGCTAAATCATAATTTAGTTTTAGTTGTTTTTAATGTATTCAACATATGCTGAATTTCAATATATTCAGCATGCAAGAAGTTGCTTAATCTTGAATGAAATTATATTAACACCCACAAAGAAAAGCATTTTTTAGCAACCATTGCCAAGTCTTCTAGGACAGCCTCCCAGATTGTACTCTTACAGTAATTTTTGTAGTCATGCTTGCCAGTGGCTCCACTGACAGCTGCACAAGAGCTGGAGAGCCACATCAGTGGAGACCAGGATATCCTGTGCTCCTGCTGACACCAGTGTAAAAGCCATACGAGATCTGATGGGATGGCTAAGGGAACACGGTAAGAGCCAAAGCAGCACAGGAAATTGAAACTGCTTAAATCCTCACTGAGTAGCTACAAAGTAGATGATGCAGCAAAGGATAAAAATGTTATATGCCTGTCAAAACAAATTTAAACAACATTTCTCATTTAGTTTGGATAAAAGACAAGCATTAATTTGCTACTTTGGTTTTCAAGAAAATACTCCCTTTAGCATTACACTTTTAAATGGTTTTTGAGATAGTTATTATCAGAAAATGGCAGTGATTTCAAATCCTCACAGGAAAATTTTCTCCTCCCAAAAGACAGTCTTTCCCATACGATTTCTGCAAAGCATTTGATACACAGAGCAGACACAACAGCCAATTCAGTAACACTCAGGTATCTTAAGACTGTATCCACATTGGCCATCCAAGCGAAAAAAAAAAACCCTTATATTTACCTATAGGAGGTCAGCATTGAAAAGAGGCATTTGAACAGGTCATGTAACTTTGAAAAAGTAATTATTTGTGAGGGGCTTTCAGATAAATTCAAAGCTTTTTACATAACACTTGCATAAATACATGATGAAATATTTCATATCAGAACGAAAAATGAAATATTCATTTTCAGATGGGATGGGAAAAGGGTGTGATTTTCAACCAGCGAGTTCTTTTAAAAAAAGGAAAAAACAAACAAATAAACAAACACCCCCCAGCCCTCCTCCCATCCCCCCC